GGTCAAGGAGCATCCGTCGTGATGACGTTAGGGGGTAATACATGAGATACAATTTTATGTAGTCTATGTAGTGGGGCGACTCGGGTGACAAGCGAGGACCTGACCAGTCTGCTGAGCCTGGATGCTGCTGGAGCGTTGCAGCTCCTGAGAGTTTATCTTGATCATCCTGCCGAAGCCAACCTTGCATGCGGCCCTCCGGATGAAGTGAAACACGACTGCTGTACAGAGACTCGTGGATGGAACCAGCGCGGGACTGGGTGTGAGTGAGGGGAACTCCACCCGTCGACTGACTGGTCGCAGTTTTCCGTCCTTTTTTTTGACAAAGAAGAATGGTGCCCCCCAAGGCGACTTGCTGGGTCGGATCCTGCTGGTCTTTAGGTTTTCTTCTAAGAATTCATCCAGCGCTTTCTGTTCATCGATTGCCATTGCGTATACTGTTCCAGAATAGGGTTTGCTGTCTGGTAAAAGTTCAATGACATGGTCCCATGGTCGATGTTCTGGGAGCGTGTTGAATGTTTCCTCTTTAAATACGTCACTGAATGGACGATACTGTTCCGGGACCAATTCTTCGAAAGTTTTTGCTTCCTTCAATTTGTTGGCCTCAATAGTGATGTCCAGTGCGGTGGCTCGCAGCATCTTGGCTGATAAATAACGCGCATACTCCCTCTTATTTTGGGTTTTCTGTCTTATCCAAGTGTTGGGGTCAATAATAAATACGGAATCTTCCTCCTCGATTTTGACTTGGTTAATTTGCTGGATTTTACGCATGTCCACGCATCGCGGTGGACAACGCGTGAAATTCAGCAGTTGTTTTTGCCAGTCAATTTTGGGGTTGTGAAAGTCAAGCCATTCATAACCAAGAAAAACATCTAATTTGCTGAGATTTGTGATTAGCAAATTTAAGACTTCTTCATGGTCTCCGATTTGGCCCTTCACTCGTACATATTCGGTAATATTACCAGCCGCATTTAGAGTTCCGTCTGCGTTAAATACTGGTATATCGTTTTCAAAACGATGTCGCTCTAATCCGAGTTTTACAACGGTATTCTCGTTGATACATGAACCCATGCACCCGGTGTCCAGGAGCGCTACCACATCTTTCCTTTTCTCAGTCTCAAGCTGTGTGAGCATCAACGGCAGGTCCATTTGCATGCCGTTTTTTAACCCTCGTACGACCTTGAATAATTTAGGCCCTTCAGGAAAGATAGGAATCTCGGTTTTTGGCTTTTGTGATCGTCGCACTCGATCTTTTTCTGAATGTTTTTGTTTTTTGTTTGAGGAATTAAACACAGGTTTTAAGGCCCTGCCAAGCTTCTGTGAAGAAGACTCCTCTGCCTGTTTGATTGATTCTGTAGCATTAAATACATCCTGTGCTACTTTGGACTCAGTTCTTTGTAAAATTGCATAGAGACATTCTGGATATAGATACTGTCTGGGGTTTGTTCTTCTATGACTAGCACAGAATATTTATTATGAGAATTGAAAGGCACGGAGCTTGGTGCGCTCAAGCTGTGCCGAAGCCAAAACCCGCCGCTTTGAACCCTTCAGGATCCCTTCTCGACCACTCCTTGATCGCCGAGATGAAATCGGACGTCGGCTTTGTCCAATCCACCTGTCTGACCTGACTCGTGGTTCTTCCTTTCCTGTTGGGTATGTGCCATGTACTTCCACATGTTCCCGTTTCCGACTGCTTGGCCTTGCATTTGAGGCACGCCCGGTCTACGTCCATGGGTTGTCCTGTCCCCATGAACATCGTTCCCATCCCGTCGCGTTTTTGCGTCGTTTGTGCTCTTTGCGAAGCCTGCGGGTTTGTGGGGGCGGGCACTCCTTCCTTTCTGGGCGGTATTGTTCTGAGGCCCCACATGGCCTTCTCCTGCTGACGCTCCTGCCAGGCATTGTCGAGTTTGATCAAAACAGCCTTCCATCCGTCGTATGTCGTCAGCACCGTGACTTGTCCGTAGACCTTGTCGACAAGTGCTTCATTGACGCTGGTACGGATGGTTTTCAGGATGTACTGATCCTCTTTCTTGTACCCGGCTTGTGTCATTAGTATTTCCAACTCCTGAAAATACTCCTCCACTGGCCTCTGCCCTTGGTGCAGGTGATCGATCTTGATCTGCGCCTGTGCAGCAAGATTTGAATCTTGGAAGGCGTCGGTGATCTCCATTTTGAAGACCGCCCACGTCTTCTCCGAGCTCTCTGTATCGTCCCTGAAGAACTGGTCATAATAGTTCTGTGACCAGACTTCCGCTTTAGGTCCTCTGAGATATGAGATAACAAAATCGATTTTTTAGCATCCGTGATGAAATCTTTTTTGTTATTTCTCAGGTACGTGAGGACCTGTCTCCACCAAGCCTTGAACTTGGTCTTGCTTCCGTCAAAGTACTCGGGCTTGGCAATGTGCCCTTTCCTTCC